AACTGCGTTGTCTGCAAAAACGCCATGTGAGTTATGCGTTTTATTTGGTTCTATAGAATACTACGCTGCCCAAGTGCACTCGTGTTAATTTGTTACTTTTCAGTTGCTCGAAAGCCCAACGAGGCGTCCGATCACCACGACATTTATACTGCGGATTGGCGATGTGTGCACGAATGTTTCGAGAAGGAGATGCGGTTGGAGAATGAGGAGGGGAACATCGATGTGTTCGGGAAGATTGGCTCGACAATCCCAATTTTGCATTTCTCCACCTGATTAGTAAGTGAATTTGTTTTGTTTTAAGCGGATCGACGGCGCAGCTTTTTAAAAAAATAAAAATATTATTTACTTGTATTTCCGATTTAGATGTTCTATCGCAAGAAGATTCCTTGGCACCTTCACCTTTGGGGAGATGGTTATTTTGCTTGTCAAGGTCTTTCTTGCTCTTTATGTAGATCAGTTTCGTTTAGCCCTTCAAAATCTCCTGAATGTCCAATTTGTCACGATGAATGTAAGTGTTTTATTGTTTGTTTGGGGAATAAAGTATTCATTTTGGTTGAACATTTATGTTGGATTTAGATTCGAATCAAGTTGACGGAAAGAAATCGCTTTCACTCTGTTGCAATCACCTTATCTGTACGGAATGTTATTCGAAGAATCGCACGCCAAACACGGATGCGGAAACAAAGGAATGGCCCCACCAGTTTACTTGCTCAATTTGTAACAGAGAGAGAGCGTTTTCGATGATGAGGTGCTGGTTGATCCGAGTTTCAAGGTAATTAAGCTATAATTTCAAGGCACTTTCCTGTCTGTTAGATTTCTTGAATGGATTGCCAATGATGACACGTCAAATGGAAGGAATGAGGAATCCTCGTGGGGTTTTTCTTGTGATTGTATTGCAAAGGAGACGGGTATAGTTTTGAAAAGATTAAATTAATAAATGTCAATCCTCCAGCGCAAGTATTGACAAAGATGCATCACTGTAATAAATGCGATTTGAAGGTTAGTGGGTTAATTGACAAATAGTTTTCCTGTTTAGATTTGTCCAGATTGCCTTATTGAGGAGCATCCATCTCATGAGAAAAACGCGACTTTGGAAGAAAGCAGTGAATTTAAAGAGTTAGCAAATAAAAAATGATGTATCTAGCTTTGTGAAATGACCGAGGCTCAACAGAGAAGATACGGCCAATGTGGTGAAAACGTACAACAGATTTGTTTGGCAGGAATGCACGAGAATATTCTTGAAGCCTCCTGAAGGCTTTTTGGAACGCAGTATGCGTATTTCGAATTATGCTAATATGCAGATTTTTTTAGGAAATTGACTTCGAAAGAAGAAAACTGTATGAACATTTCGGGACATTTGGAGTAGCTGCAAAGAAGACACTTGAAAAATGCGCGTAAGTTTTTCTCTTTGAATGCTTAATAATCCGATTTAGGAAGCTGAGAGAGGACTTTGAGACGATTTCCGGAGAAACTCATACCTGATTTTGCGTCGATATGAGACGAAGGTCATAGGTTGGTTTAAAAGTTTTGTGACTCACCCTTGAAGTTTTAGATATTGATCTGGAAGCAATTGACCAAAGATACTATCAAGGACTTGAAGATGGATTTTAGGGAGTGAAAAGCAGCGATGTGTTTTATCTTGATTTTGCAAACTTGAATCTGTATTATTTTCTTCGCCTGTACGAAGCTGTATCACTTTTCAATATTATTTTTGTGTTGCTTCGATCACATTGATTTTATCGGTGCGATAAATGTTTTGGCATAGAAGTGCCGGTTAAATGGTATATGATTGGTGTCTTCGCTGTAGCGGTTTCTCTTCAAAGAGTCGGGTTTAGTTTAATTAGCTATCTTGGGGTTTGACAAAAAGACGTTATAATCATTGCAGTTTTGTTGGGTGGTTATGGAAAAATAAACCTTTGCACTTTTGTTTCGTTCTCGGTAATTTGCTAGTCCAGCAGCTCGGCTTCCGGAGGCCACAGGTATGCGCGAAAATGTGCTTTAAGCTATAGATTTTTTCTCTTCTTTCTTTTTCTTTTTTTCTTCTTTTTCCCTATAGAAAACGATGTTTTGCCTTGCCTTCGCGCGAATGTGGGGAAACAACGACGGTGGGGAAAGAAGGCTGGCCACGTCACAAATATTTTTATCCGTCCTGTAACAGGGAAACTTCTGTCAATGCAGAAAAAAAGATCGATTTCAAGGTTTTGTTTTAATTGGTTTTTTCAAAAAGAAATACACTTTTAGATTTCTTGGATGAGTTGCCAGATGTTGCATCAGCCGGGGATTAAAGGACATCTTGTTTGTGATGGTTGCGAGGACACCGTAAAAGCTTTGATTTGATTGTCCAAATTTTGACATTTTGGCAGGCCAGCATAGACAAAATGTACTATTGCATCACTGGCAACTTCGGAAAGTCGGCCTATTTTTGATAAAAACCTAACCGTTGTTTAGATTTGTGCTGTATGTGTCGTTTGAAAATCATCGATTGCATGAGACAGCTCGACTGTTGAGAAAAGAGGAGAGGGAAAATATTAGGTTGGTTTTGGATATAGCCAGCGTTGCTGAACTTTATTGTTGTGAGAGAAGCTTTGAAAGCATGTCTTTCGGTATTTAAAAAATACGTTATCTTGGCATATTTGGAATCTTTTAAACGGATAATTTCTTATTTTTAAGAGCTTTTCTCTTGCTTTTAAATGACCGATTTCGAACATCAAGTTCGCGTCTGCTTGCTTTACGACTTAAAACTGGGCAAAACAGCCGCGGAATTTCATCGAGATTTGGTCAAAGCATTTGGGAATGTATTGTCCGATGTATTTTCCGAAAGAAAGCCAGATGTATTGTCCGAAAGCCGATGCCAAGCCTGATTTCAACGCTTTCGGAATGGTGATGAAAGTCTCGAGGATGATGAAAGTCTCGAGGATGATGAACACTCTCGTCGACCTCAAGCGGTAGACAACGATATTTTGAAGGCTGCAATCGAATCGGGTCCATGTCAAACGACGCGTGCGCTCAACAGTTTCTATGTTCCAATTCTACTATTGATGAGCATCTCCACGTCATTGGAAAGACGATCAGATGCGGGAAATGGCTTCCTCACGAGTTAAGCAGTGCAAACGCAACTCGTTTATATCCGAACAATTGAGAAATTCAGAAAATGTCGAATTGGGTGATAATTAAAAGAATATTCCAGTTGAGCAGAGGGACAGGCCAAAGATATTGAGCCGAAGAAGACTCCAGACACAATTCTAGACGAATTCTGGTGTGAAGGGCGTGACTAAAGTGGGTTCCAGAACTTAGACATAGCATATAAAGATAGATCGAAACTTCAAGTCCAAACACTGAGTAGTTTCCCCAATCTGCGTTCTATGCGTTGATGCTTCGATAAAGAAACTTCTTTGAAGGTGAGAAAGGGAGCTAAGAAGAATGCGAGGGGCGCTAGAGTGACTTCCCAGAACAGCCACACATGATGTAAATTTGAATACCAAGAGCTTTAATCTGGCACTCAACAACTCCCTAATCTTTGTACTCAAACTGATCCTCGAGGCAAAGTTTTGGAACGTGAAGGAGCTAAGAAGAGTTAGAGGGTATGAAAGTGAGTTCCAGGACAGTCATATCCATGTAGAGATGGATCGAAACTTCAAATCCAAGCATTAGAGAGTAGTTTTCCAAATCTTGTTTCTTGAACTGAGATACTGGTACAAAGATTTTTGAGGCTTAGAAGTTGTCACTTTCATTGAATGATCTCTATTAAAGCGTTTGAATTTACTAACATAGTAATTTAAACAATTTAAATTTTAACATTTTGGTAACCATTTCAGCAAGCTCATGTCCAGATAATCGAGACCGAATTTCTTGTTTGGCTGATTCAAAAGAGTGTTGAACTTGTCAACATTATTGATTTGAACACTATATAATAATGGTACGTCACTGTACGCTATAGAAGTTTAAATTTGCCGAAGAGCATTTAAACTTACGAGGCTAATGTTGAGGTTGTGGTTGTCGAGGAAAAACGGATGCACCAAAAGAGAAAATTTTTCCGCTTTTGAAGCCAAAGTAAACTTCAACGAACAAAACTTGCTGCTTTTAAAAAAAAACAAAAAACATTTCCTAAATTGCGACTTAACTAGGGAACTGTAGCCTATCTACAAAACGCGACCTTGAAAAGTTAGGGGATACGTGTTTTTATTTTTACTCCTCTATTTGTAAATCTTTGTAGAAACGCGTTTGAAGTTTTGGCGATTTTTGAAAAATCTGATCACATCTATATCAATAACAATATAATCTCAATACATATTTCCTTTTCAACAGTCGAGCTGTTCTCATGCAATCGATGTTTTTCAACGACACATACAGCACAAATCTAAGCAACGGTTAGGTTTTCATCAGAAATAGGCCGACTTTCGAAGTTCGATTGATGCAATAGTACAATTTGTCTATGCTGCCCTGCAAAATGTCGATATTCTTTCCAACCGTCATTGTTTCCCCACAAGCTGCTTCACAAAAAACAACAAAAAACATTTCCTAAATTGCACCTAAGAAACACCGTACCTTTCAAAATGAAAATGTGTCGGAAAGTATTCAATCATTTAACTGAGTATTCAATGTTTGTTTAATTTTCTATGAAAGGCTAGAAAGTGGGCAAAATTTCATTCTCTTTTCGTCTGCATCTTTTAGAACATTAAGCTATTCTTGTTTGTTAATAGGCCAATTGTTTCTCGAACTCTACTTTTTCATTCATTTTAAATACATCTGAATCGGAACAGAAAATATTCATCGAAAAAGGGGCAAACCCCTTAAAAATGCTTTTAAAAAATTGTTTTGGATGATAAAACCGCATTTTCCGGACTGGGGATGTCGAAATTCGGAATCGGCATGAAAACTGGTCAAGAAAAAGTAGATTTTGGAAAAATTGCCCTCCCCGCTACTCAGGTCATTGTTCCCTGATCATTGTTTCTTTTCAGGAAATGAAAGTCTTTCAGTCTCTCAACTGCGTTGTCTGCAAAATGCCATGTGAGTTATGCGTTTTATTTGATTCTATAGAATACTACATGCCTAAGTGCACTGTGTTAATTTGTTACTTTCAGTTGCTCGAAAGCCCAACGAGGCTCGATCACCACGACATTTATACTGCGGATTGGCGATGTGTCACGAATGTTTCGAGAAGGAGATGCGGTTGGAGAATGAGGAGGGGAAACATCGATGTGTTCGGGAAGATTGCTTTGACAATCCCAATTTTGCATTTTACCTGATTAGTAAGTGAATTTGTTTTGTTTAAAGTGGACACGGCGCAGCTTTTTAAAAATAAAAATATTATTTACTTGTATTTCCGATTTAGATGTTCTATCGCAAGAAGATTCCTTGGCACTTTCACCTTTGGGAGATGGTTATTTGCTTGTCAAGGTCTTTCTTGCTCTTTATGTAGATCAGTTTCGTTTAGCCCTTCAAAATTCCCTGAATGTCCAATTTGTCACGATGAATGTAAGTGTTTTATTGTTTATTTGGGGAATAAAGTATTCATTTTGGTTGAACATTTATGTTGAATTTAGATTCGAATCAAGTTGACGGAAAGAAATCGCTTTCACTCTATTGCAATCACCTTATCTGTACGGAATGTTATCTCGAAGAATCGCACGCCAAACACGGATGCGGAAACAAAGGAATGGCCCCACCAGTTTACTTGCTCAATTTGTAACGAAGAGAGCGTTTTCGATGATGAGGTGCTGGTTGATCGATTTCAAGGTAATTGCTATAATTTAAAGGCACTTTCATCTGTTAGATTTCTTGAATGAATTGCCAATGATGACACGTCAAATGGAAGGAATGAGGAATCCTCGTGTTTGTGATGATTGCAAGGAGACGGTATAGTTTGAAAGATTAAATTAATAAAGTCAACTTCCAGCGCAGTATTGACAAGATGTATCACTGTAATAAATGCGATTTGAAGGTTAGTGGGTTAATTGACAAATAGTTTTCCTGTTTAGATTTGTCCAGATTGCCTTATTGAGGAGCATCTATCTCATGAGAAAACGCGACTTTGGAAGAAAGCAGTGAATTTAAAGTTAGCAAATAAAAAATGATGTATCTAGCTTTGTGAAATGACCGAGGCTCAACAGAAAGATACGGCCAATGTGGTGAAAACGTACAACGATTTGTTTGCAGGAATGCACGAGAATATTTTGAAGCCTCTGAAGGCTTTTGGAACGGTATGCGTATTTCGAATTATGTTAATATGCAGATTTTTTAGAAATTGACTTCGAAAGAAGAAAACTGTATGAACATTTCGACATTTGGAGAAGCAAAGAAGACACTTGAAAAATGCGCGTAAGTTTTTCTCTTTGAATGCTTAATAATCCGATTTAGGAAGCTGAGAGAGGACTTTGAGACGATTTCGGAGAAACTCATACCTGATTTGCGTCGATATGAGACGAAGGTCAAGGTTAGTTTAAAAGTTTTGTGACTCACCCTTTGAAGTTTTAGATATTGACTGAAGCAATTGACAAAGATGATTATCAAGGACTTGAAGATGGATTTTAGGAGTGAAAGCAGCGATGTGTTTTATCTTGATTTTGCAAATTTGAATCTGTATTATTTTCTGCCTGTACGAAGCTGTATCACTTTTCAATATTATTTTGTGTTACTTCGATCACATTGATTTTATCGGTGCGATAAATATTTTGGCATAGAAGTGCCGGTTAAATGGTATATGATTGGTGTCTTGCTGTAGCGGTTTCTCTTTAAAAGTCAGGTTTTGTTTAATTAAGTATCTTGGGGGTTTGACAAAAGATATTATAACTTGCTGAGTTTTGTTAGGTGGTTATGGAAAAATAACCTTTAAATTTTTGTTTCGTTCTCGGTAATTTGCTAGTCCAGCAGCTCGGCTTCGGAGGCTACAGGTATGCGCGAAAATGTCTTTGCTATAGATTTTTTCTTCTTTTCTTTTTTTTTTTTTCTTCTTTTTTCCTATAGAAAACGATGTTTTGCCTTATTTCGCGCGAATGTGGGGAAACAATGACGGTGGGAAAGAAGGCTGGCCGTACAAATATTTTTATCCGTCCTGTAACAGGGAAACTTATGTCAATGCAGAAAAAAAGATCGATTTCAAGGTTTTGTTTTAATTGGTTTTTTCAAAAAGAAATACACTTTTAGATTTCTTGGATGAGTTGCCAGATGTTACACGTCAGATTAAAGGACATCTTGTTTGTGATGGTTGCGAGGACACCGTAAAGCTTTTGATTTGATTAACTAAATTTTGACATTTTGCAGGCCAGCATAGACAAAATGTACTATTGCATCAATTGCACTTCGAAAGTCGGCCTATTTTTGATAAAAACCTAACCGTTGTTTAGATTTGTGCTGTATGTGTCGTTGAAAATCATCGATTGAATGAGACAGCTCGACTGTTGAAAAAGGAAAATATTAGGTTGTTTGGATATAAGCCAGCGTTGCTGAACTTATTGTTGTGAGAGAAGCTTTGAAAGCATGTCTTTCGGTATTTAAAAATACGTTATCTTGCGCATATTTGGAATCTTTTAAACGGATAATTTCTTATTTTTAAGAGCTTTTTCTTGCTTTAAATGACCGATTTCGAACATCAAGTTCGCGTCTGCTTGCTTTACGACTTAAAACTGGGCAAAACAGCCGCGGAATTTCATCGAGATTTGGTCAAAGCATTTGGGAATGTATTGTCCGATGTATTTTCCGGAAAGAAAGCCAGATGTATTGTCCGAAAGCCGATGCCAAGCCTGATTTCAACGCTTTCGGAATGGTGATGAAAGTCTCGAGGATGATGAAAGTCTCGAGGATGATGAACACTCTCGTCGACCTCAAGCGGTAGACAACGATATTTTGAAGGCTGCAATCGAATCGGGTCCATGTCAAACGACGCGTGAACTTGCTCAACAGTTTCTATGTTCAAATTCTACTATTGATGAGCATCTCCACGCCCTTGGAAAGACGATCAGATGCGGGAAATGGCTTCCTCACGAGTTAAGCAGTGCAAACGCTCGTTTATATCCGAACAATTGAGAAATTCAGAAAATGTCGAATTAGTTGATAATTAAAGAATATTCAGTTGAGTAGAGGGACAGGCCAAAGATATTGAGCCGAAGACCTAGACACAATTCTAGACGAATTCTAGTGTGAAAGGGGGCGGCTAAAGTGAGTTCCAGAACAGACATAGCATAAAAAGATAGATCGAAACTTTAATCCAAACACTTAGTGGTTTCCCAATCTTGTTCTTGCGTTGATACTTGACCGGCTTTTGAAGGTGAAGGAGCTAAGAAGAATGCGAGGAGTTAGAGTGACTTAGAACAACCACATGATGTAAATTAGCTCCAAACTTTTAATCAAACACTAAACAACTCCTAATCTTGTGCTCAAACTGATCCTCGAGGCAAAGTTTTGGAACGTGAAGGAGTTAGGAGAGTTAGAGGGAGGAGTATAAAGTGAGTTCCAGGACAGTCATATCCATATTGAGATGGATCCGAAACTTCAGAAAACTAAACATTGAGTAGTTTTTCCAATCTTGTTCTTGAACTGATACTGGTACAAAGATTTTTAAACAAGAAGTTGTCACTTTCATTGAATAGTCTATTAAACGTTTGAATTTACTAATATAGTAATTTAAATAATTTAAATTTAACATTTTGGTAACCATTTCCAGCAACTCATGTCCGTTCATCCGGAGCGAATTTTGTTTGACTGATTCAAAAGAGTGTTGAACTGTCAACATTATTGATTTGAACACTATATAATAATGGTATCAAAATAAAAAGGTAAAAAGTGATAAAAAGAACCCGCTGTATTTGAGGAAAAGGTGGTCGATAAAGGTATCCCCTAATATGTTCTTATTTTTCTAAGCCCTGTCATCCAATGCTCAAACTCCGAGATTGTTTATTGCTTTGACGATAGATGCATTCGGCAGGTTCAATCAATAGGAGATGCATTCAGGAATGCCTTGAGATCAGAAGTGAGTTGAGGGTGGTGTTATTGAAAAAAGGCTGATAAAGACTCAGAAATATCTTGTCTGTTTTGAAGTCTTCAATTTTTAAAACCTCTAATTTCTGTTTAGCTCCATCACCGGAATTCTGCCAATGGAAGCTGTTAAATAGAAAGGATTCTGTGCTCCGAAAAAACCCGATTATTTTCCCATTGGAGCATTTCTTTTGGTCGTTGTGTTTATTGGGTTTATTTGGCGATATCCTACTCGAAACGATGCAATCAGCGTCCAGAAGCTTTACCACAACAAAACGTAAATTTGTGTTCAAGAGTTGGTTGATCTACATCATTATTCCATTTGATTATAAACTGTAAATTCTGATGTGTATATTTTTATTATCTAGCTTTTATATACCGAAGATTTGAACATAATGAAGGTGCTGTTTAGATTTGAACATTTTAAAGGAGGAAACAGGAGTAATAGTCAAGTCGATTGTTTCTTGCCCGGCACTCTGGCGTCAGTGCCCTTAAGCCGATCGAACGCCAGTGTTTTCGTTTTTTCTGTTGGATCGGCAAGAAAAGCTTCCCGAAATCGTCGAGTCACCCTAGATTTATCTTTTTCAAGATTAGCCCTGAAGACTACTCTGTGCGCTTTCATTTCCTCGAAAATTTTCTCCCCGAGACAAACATAGCCAGTAGATTGGCCTGAAGTAGATCATTCGAAGTTCGAAGAAGAACTCATTTGAGGCAGATTATTTACCGAATCGTAGATCTCATCGATAATAAACTTACTCACAACACTGGTAACCACAATCGTCGCAAGACGAACCTAAAACAACAAACCTTAATCGTATCCGTGTTTTGGCAGTTCTGCAGCTTATCGTAAATTCAACAACCATAACATTCAATAAATGCTATACCCGCAAACAACCCCCAAAAATTGAGGTTTTTCGTTGTTGGGTCAAAGTTTGGAACTAACTTGTATCTTATCTTATTGCTGTCTGGAACTCATTCTAGCCGCTCTTATTCTTCTCGACTCCTTTACCTTCAAAGCTTTGTATCGCGTATCGGTTCAGGAGCAAGATTGGGAAGATATTCAGTGTTTCCTTAAAGTTTTTAATCCATCTTATCATACAGTGTCCATTCTGGAACTCACTCCTTTTTTATTTCATTCTTCTCAACTCTTTTGCCTTTAAACCCTCGTATCCAAGTATCCAGCTCCTTCAACAAGATTGGGACGTTGTTCAGTGCTAGATCCAGCTTTGACTGATTTAAATAAAACATGGCTGTTCTGGAGCTCACTCTATAGCATCCTCTCATCTGTCTTTCTTCTTAATCATTAAGATCTTTGTAGCAACAAGTATCAGCTCCCGAACAAGATTCGGAAACTATTCAGTGTTCAGCCGAAGTTCCGATCCCATCTCATTATGCTATGTCTGTCCTGGAAGCGACTTTAGCTCTGCTTTCATTTTTAACTCTTCTTGCTTCAAAATCTTTGTACCAGTATCAGTTCAAGAATAATTCAGGAAAAACTACTCAGTGTTTGGATTAAAAGTTTTGATCCATCTCATATGGAGATGACTGTCCTGGAATCACTTTATTCTCCCTCTAACTCTTCTTAACTCCTTCACGTTCCAAAACTTTGCCTCCCGGATCAGTTTGAGTACAAGATTGATTTTGTTTGGTGTTCGATTAAAGTTTTGAGCTAATTTGCATCAGGTATGACTGTTCTGGAAGTCACTCTAGTCCCTCACATTCTTCCTATTTTTTTAGGAATTACATTGTGGCTCATTGGTGTGCTCGCTTTTTGCAAAGCCATTACCATTGACCACCAGAACCACCCTAAATCTGAAGAAAAATCATGCTGAACACTTTTTGGAACCCATAGCCCCCAGAGTTCCGTTATAAAGAAGGTCGACTGTATTTATTAGGTTGGTAATAAATGAGCGTCGTGTTTGTTGTTGTATTTTATTCACAGTAAGATTTCTTAAAATAGTTATTCTATTGAAGGGCGTGTTCTTGCGCATCGTTTTGATATATAATTTGTCTATGTTTACTTTGTTTTTACGAGAAAGAGTGTTTAGAAAATGTCAGAGCAAAATTTCGCTTGCCGGAGCCTGCTTTTAGGCATGAATTTAAGCCAAAGGCAAATCGGCTGCTGAAGCTCATCGCGCTCTATCTCAAGTGTTTGACGAGATGCTCTATCCGAGAAGGTCGGGTGTAAACGATGGTTCCAGCGCTTCCGAGACGGGGACGAAAACTTGGAAGACCAAACACGCTGTCGACCTCAAATCATCGACAACGACGCATTGAAGGAAGCCGTGTGAGTCGGATCCACGCCAAACCACTCGCGACTTGGCAGAACAGTTTGGCTGCACTCGCTGTCACCATTGAGGAACCATCTGCATGGCATGGGCAAGACGAATAGATGCGGAAAATGGGTACCATAAGCTATCCGACGCAAAACAAGAGCGACAATCGCCAGATTGGACCTCCGCTATAAGACAGTGGGTTTGAACTCCATTGTTACGTCGGATGAAGTGGATTTATCCGACAACACAACCCAAGCGGAAGTGGTCGGACCAATTGGGCTA